AATCCTTGCTTCACGTCTACAGTGATACTCCAGTGGAACGATCAAACATTTGCATATTAGACTAATTTTGATTGTTCTGCAAATGTGCTGGTTATTTGTTAACAACACAGAGAGACTTAACGTTGCTATCTCTTTCGTTACCATATATCTTAGCCCTTAAGTATAGTGCATACAGCAACATGGCTAAGGCTACTACAGTGATCGCGGCAGAACATCTGAGCTAGGATATAGGCAAACAAATACGTAATCACAGCCATCGTGCCACTCTCATATCTCGTGATCTAACTTTTCCACTTGGTCTACAAATACAAACAGGAAAAACACATATCACCTTTGACTATTACAGTTTTCGAATAACCTGCATGAATATGATGTTGGACGAATAAAACGATAGAAATGGTACTTTCTGAGAACGAACGAGTCAGTCCGAAACAGCTAATTCCTAAAACCTTAGAGACCTGCGTAACCATCAAAGGTTTATTTTTTAATGGGGATTTTATCCTATAAGTGAAGCTTGATAAAGGTAAAAACCGAAGAGGCACAGTACAGTTGTCTAATTTCTACTGTAAATCACTAGAAGTTTGCATCTCACAGAACCAGCGACCATTAGTTTGAACATCGAGCCACTCAACTGTGATTTTCTGCTCAGTAATATTGAATTGCGGGTATAGAAGGGCTGATTACATTCTGCTCCTCTGTCTAGTTGAAGCTCAGACGCTGTAGGGTATACAACAACAATTGGCACAACTCATACCTCTAAAAAAGAAACAGTAATGCGTTATTTTTACACTTAAAAACTTTTTTACAGTAGTGGTTTCTGCGAAATGATCTAGAAAATATTAAATGCTCCTGTAAAATCTCATTTGACTAAAATATGGTTGAATATTCACACATTTAGAAGGTTATTTGGACAAACCCATAACTGAACCGACCGTCTGTTAACTTGGTTGGTTTCATCGTAAGAAATGCCTTAAAGGCAACAGCTGAAACTTACACCTTAGCCTTTTTAATGCAAAAACAATGCCTTACCCACTATGCTAACCAGACCGCAATACAATGCTGCCACATTAAGTGACAACAGCTATTTGTGTGTTGCTATTTCCTATTGACCAAAGGTCTTCAGAATCGCGGCCTCTCGGACTAACGAAGTCTATTGGTAGCTGCCGGCGAAAATCCACAGTATTTCCATTTTGTCCCCTTATTGCTTGTTAAAAACTGAAGGAGTTGACTGAGCGTACGAGTAGCATAAACCAACAATGCAATAAAGAACGATTGTAAGCACTGCACCCATACATGTGGAATTAAGTGTCTCTGAGAAAACTCTGGTATGTATATCATTGCAAGTAGTTTCGAAGGTTAAATCACGTGTGCAAATTCTGCTGGCATCTCAGCGTATGTAGCTGATAACTAGTTTACGAACTACACTGCTTCTCGCAGGTTTTGGATTGCTAGACCTCTCAATCGTAAAAACCATCGCACCAAGTAAATCAACAAAAATGGCGAAAAAAGGTATTCGGCGTCGCATAGTGGATAAACTATCCCATTCTTTTTAATTCCGTTGCTTGTCATTCGGGTGATTAGTCAATTTTTCAATCAAGCCCACCGGATCGGGCTTTCCAAAGGTCGGCTGACATTTCGTTCAGATACCTTGCGATCTGCCCTGCGTTTTACTGTCAGAAATCATTTTTAAACTACCACAGAATTGGATAATCTGTTGTGGTTGTTTACTTCGTCCATGGTTTTGTGTATTGTACTAATGACCCTTACCGTAATCAATGCAACGAGCCTAGCAGCTTGCCGATTTAGTGTTTGGAAAGAGCCGCTAAACTCTTCGCTCCAAACCACACTCCAGTCGTTCTCCCTCAAAAACACCTTCCATCCGATTTATGCTTCTTAAGAAGCAAACATTTCGAGTGACGTTCCCTCAGCAGTTCGTTTACAACAATATCTGTTCATTAAATTAAAGGAATATGTATTTGGAGATCAGTAATCGATCGGTAACCCCATGATGGGCAAAAGGAGCTGCTGAGTAAGACGCAAAAGCTAGAAATTACATGTGTTAACTTTGCTGTCGTCTGTTCTTGACAGTTTTTCGAGTTTTTTATTGCAATGGACGTTGGCATAGCATTCACCTGTTATTAGCGCCCAATAGCGGAGTGCATTCTAGACAATGCTAAGTTTCTTTCAGAAGCCATCTAGCATGTGACGTCGATGTTTCATCATTTTATCTAAAAATCATACGTAGAACGGTACTCTCTGTCTTTCACTCTAAACCAGTCTTCAACTCATATATGGTTTTTTACACCTCAGGTGATTTGCTCTGTTAGTAGCTGTCCTGTTTTCAACAGGTAAGAAGTTAAACGTGCGATTAGGCCGGATTACTTCAAACAGCAGAGTGAACACAAGTGGGGAGAACTTCTTGGCTACTCGTCTCAGCTAGCTTCTTTCTAATAATGCGCAGTGCCATAGGTGACAGTGAATATCCTTCCAGTTTCAGGATATACGCCCCTTTGTATTTACCAACGTGTCGCATAACCAAACGTGAAGGCGAATCAAATCGGTGCACAATTAAATCTGGTCTAAGCTGTTCAACGTATACGTTCCCATGTGCCTGGTAAACTCATTTGGTGTCCATCTGTGAAACGAACGAGACAGTATCCAAGGAAATATTGACAAACTAGAAAACCAACCATCTCATTGCCCAGGCACGTTGTAACCCTTGTCGACGTCCGAACAATAAGACACCACGTCCAGCTGTTAGCATCAGTTCAATAAGGTATGTGTGTACTTTTCTGCATTAGGCCTTCCTGCCAAAAAATCATCTTCCACATTGTAAAGGCAGTCAGCCTGATTTTGAAGTCCTGTTTGATGTGCTGTTGTTATTTTCCAACGTTCCAATGACTGTGGGGGATTATTTTTCCTACTTTTTTATTTGAACACGGTGGCAAAAATTTCAGCACACGTATCACAGACCTGAAAGGACTGTAATTACTTTCCATCCATAATAGCGTATTCGTTAACCATAATGAAATCTGTCGGAAAAAAAGGCATTCTTATGGTACTCTTGTTCTTATGGCACACTTTGCCCTATATATTGGTTACAAAAATCATATACGTATGTGTATATAGACGTATATATTCAACCATAATTCTGTCGTGACTGCTGTCTTAGGTAATCTGGTCTCGGTTCATAAAAATCTAATGCTTGCTCACCAAATAAAACATGGCAGTCAATTCCCACATTCTTGCCGTTCTGACTAGGATCGATGGAAATCCCAGGGAAAGCAAGAACAGACTGTTCACCTTAATAGCATTGCGCCACTAGAGTGAGACCAAAAACTGACCTGATGCTTGGCTATGGGGATAAAAAAAATTACGTTCCTTCAAATTTGCACAACTGACTAAATTCTCCGGAACAGTTAGTTCCTCTAAAAACCGATACACAGAACCATCCATCCAAAAGGTTACGCAGGCTGCAACGTAGACAGCTGCCCAACATTATTTTGGTTGAGTCCCATTCAAAAAACAACTAGCTGATATATTCAAACATCCAATCAATGATGACATTGCTCGTGTGCTTAGGCGTGTCCTGGAAGTTATTTCCTGCCGGTAGGGCTCCAGTGGGGATTTGAAATTAGTCATTAGAGTTACCGATACGGTGGCTACTATAATCTAGCCATACAAACTGGCCTGTTGTTCTGACAAATCCGTACAGCTTTTAACTGTATCTTGCAACAATCTCTTTCCACTCAAATGGACTATGGCACAGTCGGGCTGACTCGGACACCCACTGTCCCATGAACCCCTTCTTCCATCTTGATCTAATTCTCCATGCAGACACACCATATGAGCGACTTTATCACAAAGGTTTTGATATATTGTACACGATAGCCAAACGCATGCACCATGGCTTGCTAGTTTCTTCTTTATCTTGGAAAGATACGTGTCTTCAAAAATGTCACTTGAAGACTAGGTAAGATATAAGCGGATTGCGTTGGTAACATTCCGAGATATTCTGGTGAAATAATTAAGGAAGAAGTTCTCCCAATTATATGAGACCATAAATCTTTGTGCCAGTTTTGTGATTTGGCATCAGATGCCAGCTAATCGCAGTACTGTGCTTCCAAAAAGTTACAACTATGTGTTCTGGCGAAAGACCACACTGATTGCCAGATGAATATTATTGACGAAAAATGCGGGCTTGTGAATTTTTCATGGACTGTATCATGAAAGGTGTGCGATAACATATCTGAGTCATTGTTCATCTCTGCATAAATTACGTTACAATGAAAACCCTCAACCGTGTGAAAGTCAAGTGTGAAAATCGTCGATTCCAAGCAAATTCTACAAGCGTCGTGACGCATGTAACTAGAGAAGCTGTGTGTGACAGAACCAATAATTATATCTTTTATTCTTGGATAGAACACACTCATTCCTGCTTTAAACTTAACCATCTTCTCCACGGAACGTTTTTTCCGGTGGTTTCACATTTCGTTCCGACGAACGACTAGTTCAACCAAATCATCGTGCCAGATATCAGAATCGCATAGGATTGCAACTCCTTTTTCTGACGCATTTTTGGAGGCATGGATTTAGATAAGCACTAATTCGCAGCCTGAATTTTATTGCACATACCACAGGACACGTACACAGCTACATCACATTTCATACAGGTTCGTTGTTCAAACATACGGTTGTATATTACCCAACCAGATAGCAGGAAGAAAGTAGCTTCCCACTGGTTCGAGTAGAAAATCTTGACTGTGGAATCAGAAACAACTGTCGGATCCCCAAATACGCCAGCTGAATAACTTGCGGAAGCAGATTGGTTAGCCAACTGTTACATGCGTGCTTAACAAACTCACATCTGAATGGCGTACACGCAATTTCACCAAGCGATCGATAAGTGCGAATCATCCAAGGCGCGCAGTCGCACGCGCGAGCGCACAGACACATAACACATGCGGTAGCAGACGGGTATAACTATGAATGGGAACTACTTTTACACATCAGCAGGCAACGTAAGGTGACACATAGACACTTATGAGACCTGAGAAGAACCTACGAATGTTTTCTTCCTCTTTGAATGCCAGCGCCAGTTATATACTCTCACCACTGAAACAAGAACTCAGTTCCGCAACTGAGAATGTGCTGCAATAACTGCGCTGGAGATCAATAAGCAACCTGGAGACCGTTCAGAATTGAGGACCTGTGACAAAGTGAGTGACAGTTACAAGTGAACTCAGGAAATCTGACGAAATTAATGCTATTCACGGTTACTATACAACAGTGAATTGAAATAACGCATGATGGTTTACATAGCTGACTAGGGAGGTTTAAGTATGAGAACGGGTTCCGTTTTGACTTCTTTACCAGGGTTAATAGGATACATTTTGCTTTACAGTTAACAACGACACAATTATCATTGATGTGAAATAGTTATGCTCTCGTTATATCACCACTTTAATATTCTACTTAGAAATGCTAAACAGCCGAAACCATGGTAGCACGTCACAGTAGAATTATGCTGTAATTTATCACATCATTGGGATTGTGTTTTGGATGAATGATCGATTTTTTCCGCGCTGTAAAAGCGTAATGAGTAAGCCCAGCAACTTTAATTGGAAAATGTCGCTAGAATTCAGCTAATGGAGAATTCAAGAATAAACAGAGAGGTTCCTATTACTGGAGTAGACTTGGTTTGATCGTATTCATTTTTAGCTGTGGATAGTCTGTCTGTGCACACAGCTGAAATATTTTACTGTGGAATACAACTACGTCGTCCGTATAAAACAGATAATCTGTTGCTCTTTCATCTGCAGTTTAACCCAATTTTGCAAAAAATTATCTGAGGTTAAATTATCTTGAAACATTTGAGCAGAAATATTTTGACTTTCAGTACAGGGTATAAATCTTTAGCGCGGAATCCACTCGTAGGCATGGACCAACCGTTACCAATAATGTACCTAGATAAACCACATGGCACTGTTTAGCCTTAGCTACCTTAGACACTTACTTGAGTTTCACTGTCTTCTTTCAGCCTGTATATGATTCCACCGTCTTAAAAAATTATAAAACTAGGTAGAGGTAACAACAATATTGGTTCTGTCAAAGGGAGGTGTAGAATTTAAACCTATTCCACACTTGCACGCAGACCAAAGGCACTGAGAAAATAAAATTGACAGGCAACTGTTATTATGTTTTTATTGAGGAGCAAATAAATGTAAACAGTGAGAGCTATACTTAAGACAAGGGATTTTACTTAGAAATGGTGCAAGCCTGGTCATCATCAACGACATCTAGAACGCAGACAACTGCACTTCATCGTCTAGGGTTGCCTGTCTGAAGCGATCTCAATATTGCTATCTGTTCACAGGCGCCAAGCAGTGGTCCCCAGCCACACTAGTGAATTTGGTCTATTTAAAAATCATTTGGAAATTCACATTTTACGTCAAACAGACTCGGATTTTGCGGCTGTTATGCCAACAGTTACCCTAGTGTTTGACCGTTAGGTGCATTGTAAGTAACCGTGGAAGATTCATGCTTGGGGGAGTTTTTGAAATTTTATTCTATCGTTGTTTCGGCTGAATAAATAACGTGTGAGGTTACGGAATGCGATCTCACCCACTACCTTGACCTGAACGCAGCAGTCATAATTTGGAATATCGATTTTTCTGTGAATGAACAATCTGCTGGCTACTACCAATCAGAGTATTTCCGTCTCAGAAGCAAGTCTGGACTCGGCGAATGGTTGCATGATGAAAGAGTTTCGCCAACAGTGATACTATATTAGCTATTGAACTTTTTTTAAATTAGACTGCTATAATTTGTTGCCGCATTGATCTTAGAACTTACCAACGCTACTTTCGACCCGCGAAATAGACTGTAAGCTCATTAGATATAGTATGTATTGTAACAGTAAGTCGAAATCAGGCAAGGTTAATTTCCAAAAATGTACTATTTGCACGGTCGGATAATGTAGCTAGATCACAAATTTATCGGGGGTCAAAATTGTTTCATCCCTGAATAGAACCAATTATTAACAGAACGAAATAGATTAATTAGTCTATCCTGAAAGTAGGACTACTGACACACGTCAGAAACCGTTTTGCATATCTGCTGGGTCAGTTTCAGGTAATCAGCAAAGCATCTCTGAAACGCTAACTTAGAACAAGCATTCAAAACAATGTTTCTTATTGAATTCGATATCTACCGACTTCTCAGCATGCTGTGTTACTTCGAAAGGGACAAGTCACAGTAGCTTTCTCCTCAAAAAGCTACGGTCAGTTTTGACATAACCAGATTTTCGATTCACTTTGAGACCACAGATGCCTCCTATCGATCTCACTGTCCAACGTACATACTTTGAACTTTAGCAGTTTGTAAATGCCTTAGGCCTGACGCTATTTGGTTGTCATGCACTACTTTGGATGCAGAAATACATTAGCGGGTGAAAACCAAAAATAGACCTTCCTTCCAAAGCAATGGTCACAAACTCCTTATTAGGATGCAAACCTAAACTTTTGTGCTACGATTAGCACATGTGACAAGTTTGTGATTAAATGTAGGATATGTTGTTGCCTCACTTAGCTATTTTAATCGATTGCGAGTATCCCAATCAATTTTACAACCGTCATCGATCCTCATGGAAAACGTGAGAATTTCGGGACTTTGGGTCTGAAGTCCTATGCTTGGAGCCATTTTCGTAACGGTTCACATGTGGAAAAGGCGGAGAGTTTGATTGCCACAAAAAGATTTTTATTTTTGGAGCAAACTCATAGAATTCAAGACCAGTCGGAAGTCGTTTGCATTTAGGAGCATTAAACTGCTAGCCGATGTCCAAAGAGAGATCCCATTTAAACCTATCTGAAGATCTCTAGATACGAGTTAAGAGTTTCAATCCGCTCAGCTTTCCGTAGTCCGGCGCAAAACAACCGAACAACCATAATGAACTTACCGCTGCTAGCTGAATCATGTGACTGGGCGTTCCGATTTCCCAAATATGCTACATAACATAACAAAAACCTTACATTTCCGGTCTCGTTATTTGTATTTCTACGAGACATGCTGAGGAGAAGGGATATACGTACGTCAAAACACGAGGATGCCATTTGGTGGCTGATGTTTTACTTCATTTATATCTAAAATAATTTCGTGAGGTTGGAGGCCAAAAATACGACTGATCAGTACCTGACAGATGGCTAGCGCGCCATTTCGTTGAAAGGAAAGCCTTCATAGCATGATGACTTCCTCTGAGATTCCTCTTCGAAAAAATATATACTATAATATATATGTATGCTTTAAGTATATTTAACCATTTATATATAATAGTATCGATATCCAAAATTGCATTGTTAATTTTTGCATTAAGGCGATGCCTTGTTGTTATAGCATCTGTGTCTATCCCTTCTCGCCCTACTTTTGGTTCGAATTATTGGGACAGACACTAAACAGTAAACTGCTTACAGTGTGAACAGTTTGAATAACCAAACTCTCCAACGCCACAGGTGCCTACTACATACCACGGCGCGTCATGTGACATAGTTTTGTTCGACATGTATCCTCGGTTGAGCGTTTCACAACTCTGCATTCTGTCTCCATGTGGATGGACTATTTTGTAAGCACATCGTCGAATGAAGACCACGACTAAATTTTATAGCTTTTTCAGGAGACGATTCCCCGATTTTTTTAACCAGTGAACCATTCGCTGGAATTGCATTTTATCTGAAGGTACACGAAAGCTTATGTTAAAACGTCATGGACTGCAATGATTTTGAGGTTCATTACGCATGTAAAGAATGAGTTTCTGATCATTAGAAAAATAAGATACCTGTGAATAATATATGAATTCAGAATAAGGCACGTGATGTCAACTAGTCTTAGTGAACTGAACTGCCCTACCAAGCACCATTTCTGGATGGAATATCTCCAAAAATAGGCCTTCAGATCTTTGGAAAAATACCTAACAACAAACCCGACTGCATTTGAATACGGTATAAGTTTGTGCAGCATTAAACGCTAATAATCCGCCAAATGATGTGAGCCAGTGAATTTAATCGGAACACACATTGCCAGTTGGCATGCAGTTTGCAACCACCTTCTCATCAGTACAGCTGGATTGCTTAAAAAAGGCCAATTTTCTAGATGAAACATATACAAGCGAATGCAAATTTTACTGTCAAGGTTTCACAATACAGCCTTCTATCGCCCTAGTCTTCCTTGAGGTAAATCGGTTGGACAGAACAATCGCAATTTCTATCAACATTGTTTCTCATGTTAACAATAAGCTTCATGTGGGTGAGCTCATACGCTTATTTGCAAAATAACTTGGAGTTTACGTAATTAGTGTTGGGTTAAATGAAATTAACTGTCGGGCAAGAATTTGCACGATCCTTTAACACCAGATGAACAGTAGATTGAGCGGATATTCGTTTGAGTACACCGGCAACAACGGATTGGACAAAAACTGATCATATGAGTGGGCACGTCATTATAATCAGATAGGTAAAATACCATCGTTCTTTCGTATTCCACAACAAGCACAAACAAGGCATCAAGGTTCCAAGTTTTTCTTCAAGAGTTTGGTCCAGTCCCTGAAAACAAGTGGACCAACTGAGAGAGGTCACTGTAGTGAGGAGAACATATATGAACTTGGTGATATTCTTCGTGGCATCAACGTTTGGATTGCCCCAAAAGTGCATTTGCATTAGGTCTGAAATTAACGGATGTCATCTTTCTATTCGATATGCACGGTAGTTTGAATCAAAACATGGTTCTAACACGGCGTTATCTGGCTGCAGCCCCAGAAAGGCGTTAACTGGTGTGTGAAATGTTCGATCGTTCGAGGAACAGACAAGCGATATCCAGCACTAAAATTAATTGTCGGATCACTTTGGACTTCTTGAAGTTAAAGAAAATACCGCTGTTTGGACCTTAATGTGTTAAGCGCAAACGGACGAGCTGTGATCATTAGTTACCTTCTCGGGTTTTTATGAATGAAACAGCAAAATCGCAAGTGATTCTGCAAAAGCTTGAGGGACTATTTGAAGGGTTCGAATAAAAGACTAATTAAGGGTTGATGCTCAAATTAGTATGGGTGGTTTTAGATAGAGCATTAAATATTGCACTGAAGAATTGAGTACTACTGATTAGCATCGTGCAACTGGATGAAATTGAAGCATACCGTCATACACGGAACTGACACAGCTGCAGCTGGTTG